AATGGCATCTAACAATACTCATAATTTCTAATTTCCTAAAACGCTCACAGAAGTCAAATAGTCTTCCCTTGGTTAAAGTCCACGTCAATGGTCAAGGTCAACAGTCCATGTTGACCTCAACTCGTCGAGTACAACCAGCCACTCATTGAGTTCCTTGCATAACTCTTCAACTCGCCGAGTCACATGAGTGACTCGTCGAGTTCTTAATGTTGCCACCGTAAACTCCTCGGCTAACTTGTCGAGTTTCCCTGCAACTTGCGGAGTTCATGCGTGCCAAAAGCCGGGAAAACCCTAACTGACTCGCCGAGTCACCCTATTGACTCGTCGAGTTCATGAAAATCTTCATTGGACTCGTCTACTTGACCATATAACTCGCCGAGTCCCTTCAGTTCTTCATCCATCCACATGCATATCGAAATCCCCAAGGCATGTTCATCACCTAAAGTTGCAAACTTTACGTGCATGTAAGGCCCCAATAACTCTAAATGACAAATCTTAGCTTTAAATGGAGTTTTACACTTAAAGAGGGGTTCATACTTGCCAAAGTTGATAGCTTTATGGACTTAGAGACAAAAGAGCATTCAGATCTGAAGTTACAACTTCAGATCTTAGCTCATACCAAAGAATAGCTTCTTATTATCCTAGAAAATCCGTAATCTTTAATCAAATGAGATCTAGAGGGAAATGAGATCAGGGTAACGACTTGATACCTTCCAAGAGATTCCAAATGAGGTAGATATCAGATCCCCACATGTTCTTTGCTCCTAGCCACTTGCTCTCCAAGTTCTTCTTACAAAGATCCACCTCCCAAAGCTTAAAACACACAAGGATGAAGCTCACACGTTCTTTGCTCCTAATCTTTAATTAAATGAGATCTAGAAGGAAATAAGATCAAGGTAACGAATTGATACTTTCCAAGAGATGCCAAATGAGGTGGATATCAGATCCCCACACATTCTTTGCTTCTAGCCATTTGCTCTCCAAGTTCTTCTTACAAAGATCCACCTCCCAAAGCTTGAAACACACAAGGATGAAGCTCACACATGGATTAGGGTTTGCTGAACTCTCAAGAAGCTGTAAGGGGGCTAAAGGAGGCTTATGATCCTTTAAATAGGGTGCAAAACCCCAAAAATTAGGGTTTCGTCCTCCAGCTCCTTCTCATCGAGTCCCTTCTTGGACTCGTTGAGTAGATCACTTAAACACATGGACCAACCCACTGCTACTCGACGAGTCAGGGCAACCAACTCATCGAGTAGACCTTGAAATCATGAGAATTTAAAACCATAAATTAATACTTTGAGAATTGGGGTGTTACATTATGTATAAGCTACATTTATAAATTACAAAACTTAAAAGAAACAATACCTGATTTCCAAGGTGCTGGGAATTCGTACAAAAATATTTTTTCGCAAACAAAACATTGTTTTGAAATTATTTGACTGATAAACACAATTGACGGCATGCGATTTCTATTTGCAATTGCACGTTTGCGTAATAGAGGAGTTTGATCATAGCATGTTCATAAAATATTGGTTCATTATAGCGAGAAATATATTGTCATCGACATCGATGGGGTTAATTAATAACCCCCTACCGTATAGTTTAGATGTTGCAATTGGTCGACCTGGGTTGGGTTTGGGTTCAACCCATTTAATAATTGGGTTGGAAATTTCAACCCAACCCAGCCTATTTATTTAAATGGATTGACATTTCCAACCCAATCCTAACCTTTTAGATAAATGGGTTGTAACCAGGGTGACCTGTTTATGTAGTTTTCGACCCAACCTATTAAATAAATGGGTTAAACTTAGGTTAACCCATTTAAAATCAATTAAATAAATTATATAATTAAGTATTATATCACATAAATTATAAAACGTAAATAAAACTTTCTAATTATGAAAAAAGTGTTGGATTAGGTGTCTAAGACCATAACTATTTTGGTATGTACTTGACCTGATTGTGAACATGGTCCTTTTGGGTTACCTTCACATAGCAACTAATAGGATAAACTAAGGAGTAAAAAGATTAATTATGATTTACTAATATATTATATGAATAATATATTAAAAGAGAAATCATATTGCTTCATTAATATTAGTCAAGAATTAATTTTGTGGCTAAAAGATATTAATTAAATAACGGGGACTGATATTGCAATTATATTATAGTTGCAATTGGGCTATGGATTCCTAATGGAAAGGGGATTGGACGAAATCTATGGGAAGCCCATATGAATTTCATCCAAGGGATTTCTAGAGGGACTCCATGGGTTGCTTAAGGCCTAAGCAGAGAATTAGGGTTTCACCTGAAACCCTAGTAGCCTACACAAGTATAAAAAGACCCTGAAGGCTCCCAAAGACGTGGCTAACACTTCTAATAGAACCCTAGACGTTATTGGAGTATCCTCCTTCTTCTCATAGGTCATCTTGTTGCTCATGGTATTTGTGACACCATTAGAGGTGCAACATTTGAGGCAGTAAGCTTTCAAGAGTCAAGATCAAGGAGATTTGTGATTGTTATTGCTACATAACAATCAATGTAAGATCTAAACCCTTTTATTATGATAATATCGATTATTATATGCTAGATCTAGGGTTTGTGAGCTTTGGATGATTATTGCATGTTCATTAGACAAACTAGATCCAAAGCTTTAGGGTTTGCATGTACACCATAGGATTAATGTAGTGCTTATAACCCATCAGTGGTATGAGAGACAAGGTTGTTTATCTAATGTATTTGATGCTATGTTTGATCATTGAAAGATGGAAAATTTTCATTTTTTTTGGGTTCTGACCAGGCTCACGACTTGAGCACTGTTCTCACGACGTGAGCTCAGTTCTAACAGCTAATCTCGAAATTTTTGCCATATTTTGATTTGGATGATTATCATAATTTTTTTTTCCAGATAAAATCTGATTTTTCAATATGGTATTGATTATCCTAATCTAAATAGTAGATAATTGTCAAAATTAAGATAATTACTTGTTTTATAAGATAAAAATTAATTATTTGTAGTTTAAATTTGAATTCTCTTGTAAGGAAATTGAACTAGGTCAAATTTAGATAATCACTAATTATTTGATTAATTGAATTATTTGTAATTTGATCTAGGAAGTTTTGAAAAGTTTCAAAACTGCCCTCAAGTTTTGAAATTTAAATTTTTGATTAAAAGTTTAATTTTGGAATATTTAAATTCTAATCCCTAAAGTTTTGAAAAGTTTCAAAAATTGTACTGAAGTTTTGGAATTTACAATTTTGATTAAAAGTTTAATTTTGAAATATTAAATTCTAAAACCCTAGTATTTTGAAAAGTTTAAATTACACCCTAATGGTTTTATTAAATTAATTAAGTGTATAATTAAAGGAGAGTTAATAAATCCATAATGATATGGTTTATATTTAATTAAATTAAAAGGTATAATTTATTAAATTAGACCACTTAGTATTTTAAAAGTGTAAAATACACCCTTATACTATATATAAAATTAAAAGTATAATATTATATATATGTATGAGTAAAGAGTCAGTCTTACCGTTAGTAGGCCTCATTTATGAAGCTGGTCTCTAAGTGGTGTTTAAGGAAATTACCAATAAAATGGCAATTGAGTGGTTATCCACTCTTACCCACCGCACCCTTGACTAGTTGAGGGTTGTTAGCCGAATGGGTAGGATAGGACGCAACCTTCCATTATAATTATAATGAAGTATAAAGTAACTAAACACTTTTATAAATTCCCAAATCTTATTTACTTTAGGAAAAATGTCGAGTTGGTGCTATTCCATGAAATTACACTTTGTACCATTGCTAAGACGTTAGTGGAGCGTGTGTGGTTAACCGGCATACTAATTGGGCTCTAAGCAAAGGTGAAAAAGGGTGACTCGATGTTTGTCATATATCGATGGAGCATGTGTGGTTAACTGGCACGTTGATTGGGTGACTGTAACATTGGGGGCACCATGCATATTTGCATGGTTATCCACAACTTGTTTGTGATCCTCGGCATCCCAGTCACACAGGACGGGAACACTCGAGATTTAAACATGCCATTGAAAAGTTCAATGAATCTCAAAAGATCTATGAGATTCAATTCATTTAAAACTTAATTTTCAATTTTCGTTTTTCATGGTGTAATTTGGTAAATCGTCATTTACCTACTTTCAAATGTTCTGCAATTTGGATTTTGGCATCCCTCTTCTAAATTGTAAAATATTGTGTTGGGTCCTAGCCTTGATATTTCATTTGTGTGTTATATCAAGGATTCCAATCGACTAACTTGAATTTCTCCCATTTTGTAGATATCAAAGTCTGACATCTATGGTCTTACTGAATCCGTTGGAAAAAGTTTTCCACATGAAGATGATGTTCCACGATTGGATTGTGGAAATGGAAATCATGCTTCACTTCCTCCACCTCCTCCACTTATTTTCCCTGACCCACATGTTCAAAGACTTGAAAAGTTCAAGGTCACTCAAGCCCTATTAGCGAAAAGACACGAAGATGGAAAGTCACACTACTAGAAAAACAGCCTTTTACGACGCTCATTGCGCGTCGTAAAAGGCTCAGATGACGCACAAATGCGCGTTAAGGAAGGCCCTGTCATAAAGAGAGACGACGCACTTTTGCGCGTCGTCTATAAACGATGCTCATTTACGACGCGCGTTTACAACACGCAATGCGTATCAAGGAAGACCCTATCATAAAGTAAGACGACACGCATTCGTGCGTCGTAACCTTACGACGCGCGTGTTAATGACACGCAATGCGTATCAGGGAAGCCCCTGTCAAGAAAGGCCATGTCATAAATGAAGATGACACTCATTTTTGCGTATCGTAATTTTAAATGTTAAAAAAAATATTATTTATAGATTTACTAATTTTCAAATTAAATTTGCATTTAATGTCTCATAACAAAAAAATAAAATACTATATACAAAAAATACAATCCATTGCATAAAATTTAATATCATACAAATAATCGATCCATGGAAAGATAAAACAAATCAATAGATGTTGTTTTCTCCCTATACATGATTATTAAATACTAAATAACAAACTTTATTTCATATTCATACATATGATTACATTATTCATTAAGAAAAACATATACCTACAACTAGACTTGGAAGATCCATGATTGAATACGATTTCCAATGTAACTTCGATCCAAATGAGAAGTAAATGCCTTATATATTGAGGACATTACACTTCGACATTCTTCAAACTTTGTGTAGATTGTCTATGCAATGTCCAAAACTGACATGTCATCTGGTCCAGGGAGGTATCTACTAATGTACAAAAGCATTTAATTAACACATATAATAATTGCATAATAGGATTCAAGATTAACAAGTACATAACATAATATGAAACTACTCATAAAAACAATAATGCTCAACAGTTTAAGTTTAAAACCACAAATAGACAACAGAAAATGACTCATTGAAACTTGGTAGTTTACCTTGCTGAACTTGTTTGTGGGGAATGAATGATTCAGTTCCTTACACTATCCCATCCTACCAAAACACTTCATAAACCAAGGGCGTAAAGCTTATTGTTGTTCTTTATTTGGCTGAAGGGATTTTGGAAGGTTGTTGAAAGAAGGAAATTGAAACTCGAATGCAAACTGAAACTCAAATGCAAATTCAAAAGTGAAAAATAATAAAACGTAAAGTGAAAGATAACATAAACAGAAACTCACCCGAATCATATGCATAGCCTCACGTGATCTCAACATGGAGTTTCCTTGAGCAGGTGTTGGTGTTGGTGTACTGGAAGTCAACAAACCAGTGGTGGAATTCATGATGGAGGAAGAGGGGGGTCTTGCCATCTTGATGCCTCTAGTCATCCCACACATAACACCCATACCGCTTCCAGCTCGCAACATGCGTACACCTGTAAAATGTAATTTACAATATTTTAAGCTCAATTCCAAAACAAATAAATAAACTTACTTACAAATAAGATTAGTTTGAATTCATCACATAACTAACATCACACTTCTGGCTAACAAAATCCCAATTACAACAAACAGAATCTCAAATCTCAAATTCTGAATAGTAGGTTTTGAATTTAAAATTAGAATAGCATATCTGATTCATGTCCCAAAGCTTCAAGATGAGCAACCATCGCCTTGTTCATTGGTGGTGGTCCACATCATAAAATCTGTTCACACAACAAACACATAATACGTATTTTAGCCTTTTTTACCACTGTTGAATACATATTTCAAAACATGTTTGAATGAAAGGAGTTGAATTAGAATAAGATACCTTGATATCAGATGAAGGTGCATGTAAATGGTCTTGGATCATTTTTTTTCATACAAACCCAACGCCACCTGTCCATCCCTCCGGTGGCTTCACAAATACAAAACCAGGCCCTTTATTTTAATTTATATTTTATAATAAACCCAAAAATTATTAGGTTTAATTCAATGCAACAAACAGCAACCTACTATCATTGATTTGTTTATCATAGGCTTTTTGGTACTAAGAATAATACCTACCTGATTCAATACATAGTAAACTTTGAAGCGATTAGGGTAATTAGAAGTAAGTCCCTCCAGTTCTTCCTGTAAGTGTAATTAATCCCTCATCAAATTATTTAAATTATCCTTAATTTAATACTTTGCAAAAAATACAAATTCATTAATCTAAAATTCCAAAAGTAGATGACTCCTCTTAGAGAAGATGGGAACTACTTGTTTTTGTTTTTGTGTGTGTCATGGAAATTAGCATTTTCTTAATGTGTAGTAACAATTAGAATCAAAAGTTGTTCCTATCTTCTCTCATTTGTGTCGTGAATTTGATTATCAGAGTTGCAACTTCTTGATGACAAGCTTGTTACACAAAAAGTTACTATCAAAGAAGTATATAAAGTTCGCTTACTTTCAACTGATCGATCTAATATAATGTACGTTGGTTCACCAGATTCACCATCTATATTCACAGGGGTAAATTTGGCAACTGTAATATCCAACAACTCATAAGGGTATGCGAAAAGCCTGAAATGAAAATAGCAATAATGAATCAACTAAAATAATGTGTTTTTATAAGTGTCCATGTTCATAAGATCATAAGAGTTAAAAGACCACTAAACTTGGCAATTTTGGATGTGCTTACTGCTTCTAGACCATTTTCACCATCAAGAATTGATGAAAATGTTTTCAACCATTGTACTCTACTAGAAGTTTCTGTAGCTCTCAATATGTGTATAGCGATAGGGGCAGGAAGAGATGGCATGTATTAGAGGCAGATAAGTTGTTAACGTGTAGTTTTCTTGATGATATGGTGAAATAAACATGTGAACATCTGATTTTGTAGACAGGTTGCAGATGTGGACAGCCACCCTTTCAAAAGTGAAGTCCATATGAATTGGGCATGGCCTTTGTATGTTGTCCAACGTCAGCTGTGCTATTTTGGGCTTTGATCAGGTGAAAAATTGTAGACATGACTGCTATGGTGAAGCCGTGAAACAACTAAATAGGGGCGTGAACAGATTGAAGTCTTGAATATGGTCAGGTGCTCAAAAGGAGAAATCAGAAACTAAAGGCGAGTGTATGCTCTCAATATGTGAATCCAGTTGCTTCAGTGTTTTGCTTTTTATGTGTCTGTGACCTTTTTCCCCTTTTAAAAATAATGAAATGAAGTCAGGTTGGAATGTGAAATTTTGTAGGAGGCACAGGTGGCATCCTATGTAAGTGTTTGTGTAGTTGTAGTCTGATCTGATTTTCTTGTGATGCTTTCTATACTCATAAGTTGCTTGAGTAGTCTGATATTGACACAGAAATAATGGCAGTGAGTTGGCTCTTCTTTCAGACATATTGTCAGGTAGTTGGAGTGCATAACTTAACTTCATCTTTTTGTCGTACATTTTTGTTAAACTACGACAACTCAATGTATATAGTTTCATCCCTGTCTTCAGATACCAAATTCAGAAAATAAAGGAAGCACATATATGGAGGTTGAAACACGAAATTAAGGAGATGGAAAAAGAAAGGAAAATGTTTGTATGCGACTACCCCAGAATATAAGGTTGTAAGTGGAAAATTAAGGGAAGATTATACAACTAAATAAAAGAAACAATTATAATAAGAAATCAAATTTTTAACATGGATTACATATGAACCTGATTCTCAACTGGAACTATTGAGTAATTCAAATCAAATTTTCCAGTATGCAATTGAAGAACAAAAAAAACCCATACAGTAATATATAAAGATTAAAAGGGTACCTGATGAAAGAACAAAATAAAAAAAAACAAAAAAAGATAGTGATAGATAAAGATTAAAAGGGTAATCGCTAAGCGTTGGGATTTCATTCAAAAATTTTAAGTATGGCTAAAAAATAGTGTTTATCAAAAAAGTAAATATGAAAATAACTAATATAAGGAAATCAACATCTAGAAGCTTTTCAAAGATACACATTAGCTACCTTGTATCTCCTTCAAGTATGAAATAATCTATTAAATATGAAAGAAAAATATATATTAGGGATGATAAGTTGGTGGCTATGTGTTTTTCAATTGAGGCTAAAGAGAGGGTGTTACCAACAGAGACAATATTGGTAACAATTAGAACAAAGAAATTGTTAAAAACATTACCTGATCAGAGTAGTATTAGCCCTTCTTTCTCTAAATTTCTTTGACCCAAAAGGGGTTGCACTGAATGTTAAAAACATTAGCTGATCAGAGTAGTATTGGCCACTACTTTTATACACGAGACTCGCTCTTTTTCTGATATGTTATGCCATCTGTCTGGCATAGTAGGATCGGGTCTTTTTGCACGGGTCTTTAGCTTATGTGGATATCATTTGGATCAGCCTCTGCTGATATGGTGTGCTATTGGGGCATATAGTAGAATCCAAGTAGACCTCCTTCATTACCTGTTGAAGGAATTGAACATGATTGAGAATGTTTTGTGTAGAACGAGCTCTTCAAACCTATGGCTTCAACATTTTCACATAACCTGAAACGAATAAAGATGGCGCTGAAAGGATTGAGAATGTGTATCAGAAATCAATCATTTAATATAGATAAGTTGTTAGAGGCATTTTTACAAACAGGTGGTGTGCACCATGAAAAACATGCGGAATTAATCTATCTAACGTGGATGATGATTACTAATTCCCTTGATCTAACAAGCATTCATATCTAAGTATCCGAAATTAAACCTTTAAGCTAGATAAGTTCAATTCTTTGGGCGAGTAACAATAAGATGTAAGAGAAATTTTTACAAACATGTGGACTGTGCACCATGAAATGCTTAGAGAATTATTCTTGCTGCCATGAATAACGAGTACTAAATCCATAAAATTGAAAGAAACCCATCAAAATTAAAGAGGGCTAAATACGAAGTTGGAGACATAGATCGTATGAACTGCAAACCGACAACGAGAACCTTGATTCCTTGTGGGTAACTAAAACGAGTCTTTACACCTTCAAACCCAAACAACACGATAGGTCTAAATTAAAACTGGCGAAGCCAACATAGAACAAATCCAACATGAGCCAAAATGGAAAAATGATAATCCTCTTCTTAGTTACGGCATGGCAGGGAGTAGTGAAGGTAGAGGGGAAACCAACAATACATAACGAGGTCAACATATAAGAGCATACTGTGCAATTCGTTGAAAATAAGAGCAAATAAAGATACCTGAGAGAAAAAATGGAAACCTTAATAATCAGAATTAACCAGACATCCAGACGAAACAACACATAACAAGAAGGAAGAAGAAAGGTTATTGTTTGTTTATTGCTTCCGGACAGGACGGCGACTTTGTTCTTTTCGAAGAACTGGCAATAGATGCACGAATAAGTCCAAATGGGCCATTACTACAAGAAATGAGTTTTATTCATGAAGTATTAAGGGATTACTACAAGAGGGGAATGTCGATTTTCAATTTCAAATGAAGTATTAGAAGACGTTAGACCAAAAACCTGATAAAAGTCGTCGGAGCCAGAAGCACGGGAACTACCGGAGGTATTATTGACATGAACAACTTACCTGATGGAAGAGACCGTGGGATATACAACAAATCAATAAGCAAGTCAGGGAATGAAACCTATGTAAAATTCACACAGATATACATGAAAAGAGATGATTTCATCAACATACGCAGTCTGAACACCAATATTTAGGAAGTTCATAATCTAGGTCAGAAAGGAATTGTCAAAACACAAATTTTAAGATAGTTTACTGTCCGAGATCGTGATTTATATCAAGTTGTTTCTCCTATAGTAGTCTATAATAAATCTATGAAACAATCAATAACCAATTTCACCAAAACAAGCATGAAATCGAACTTTTCTTTTTCAAAAACATAATAATCGAGATCAGCTTCAAGTGAGAACGATTTTCAACTCCAATCAAGTAGATAACCCCAAAATAAACCCAGATTTAACAAAAACAACTGCCCCGCTGTCCCCGGGGATGATGACTTTTGGAAGCGTTCTTCTTCTTTAAGGCATCGTAATTTAAAATAATAGACGTTAACTGACCTGTAGAGACAATCGGTGGTGGAGAGCGACGATGGCTTGGACCATGGTGGTGAGCGACATTACGTAGACTAAATTGATCAGAACTAATAGCGGTAAAAGTAAATTGTGACGACGCAATCGATTTGCGAGACCTGAAGACCACATTGCCTCCAGTCACCGCCACTGGCAACCCACGCCATCGCACCACCAATACCAACAACGACAACTGAGAGAGTTGATAGTAGAAGAGGAAAGATCGACAATATCCACGACAACCAAGACTCTTAAATCTGTAAAGCGACAACTGATTGCGACTTTTTAGGGTTTGTTGAAAGACCTGTGGGGTGTAGTGGTGGTTCTCGGCTTTTGCAAAGGCAGTGTGGTGGTGGCTCAGGGCTGGTGTTGTGGTGCGATGTTGTAACAGTGGTGTCCGAAAGAAAACACAAATTGTGATGGAGGCTATTGTTGTTGGTGATGTCTGATTCATCAAAAGAAAATAATTCTTCGGTCAATCGTCTATTTTGTGAAAGAATATATTACTATTTCAAATGCATTATGTTTGATTAGGGTTTGCACATAGAAGGAAGTGAAAGTCGATCGGAGAGGAAGGGGTTTGCAGAGATAAGGAAGGGAGAGAATGAAGTCGATCTGGTGGGTGTAGAGAGTAGAGAGGAAGAGGAAGGCGGGTGTTCAAAATTTTGGGGATTTAGTTTTCCCCCTTATCTAAAAAGGAGTCACAGAAGCGCGGGTTTAGTAAAAATTATAAAGCGACATTTGTAGAGGACGCCCTTTTTATTATAGGTGCCCTCCGTGTTTTTTATTTTTGTTTATTGGACATTAATTTTAGGGCGCGCAAAAATACGTGTCCTCTATTCTTCAAATTTTGGAAGTTTGACATTATTTTTAGGGGCACACAAAAATGCGTATCGTAAATCAGCGAGTGTCATTGTTTGCGCGTCATTAAAGGGTATTTTTCTTGTAGTGTCAGTATGCGCTCATGTCTTGGATATGAAGTTGCCTATTGATAGATTGGGGATATTGGGTGTCGACGTCTCAAGGAAGTTGGATGTTGACTTGGTTCTTCAATCACTTCCCGAATCATATAGTAAGTTCATTAAAGAGTACTATGTGATAGACCATGATGTGACCCTTATTGGTTTGACTTATTTGCTTATTGCAGCTGAATCAACAATGATTTGGCGCACTGGTCAAGCAAATTTGTTTGGAAAATCAATATCCCAACCTTCTATGGGAAATGGCAACATTGGAAGTCCAAAAAAGTTTTCTCTACGCAAGAGAAAGGTTGAGTCTGAGATAGTCATGTGTACCATTCCAGAAGAATCCATTTGTTTTTACTGCCAAAAGAGGGGGCATTGGTTACGAAGCTGCCCTGACTACCTGAGAGATCTAAGAGATGTGAGAGTGAAGTTGTATGACTCTGCTTCAGGTAAAATCAACTATCTAACTCTATTAAGTTTTCTATTTTAGATTCTTAATACATGATGTGATAAGATTGGATTTTGATGTGTTGTAGGATCGAAGAAAAGAAAGGAAGCTTAAAGGAAGAAGTGAGATGAGTCTGATCGCGAAGAAATGGATTTCGATTGCATGACTCGATGATCGGATTTTTGGAGCTGCTACATTTATAGTTATGATAGATTCTTTAGGAATATGAAATAACATAGTTTTCATTTGATTTTTCATTGTAAGGATAAGTTTTCCGCAACTTTTTTATAAATAAAATAAATTTTGAGTTTTGTCTTAT